TGTAAGGAGCAGAGGAATTGTTTTAATAATTTGAATTTATTTGTTATTGTTGTGCATAAAGTCTTGTTTGGCAGAAAAAAACATCGTTTACATTTTTGCCACATTTTTGTCAGTGACACTGAAACAAGTCCTAAGTGCAGACTCTAACCTGTCAATACAGAATATAATTATTTGAGTAACTCACTACGTAATTAAATATGTAATAACAAAATATATTTGAATAGTATTGCAAAATTAAAGTATTACTCTTATAAGGGTTCTTCTCCTGGATACAACTCTCACTTAGGCCAAGGCTTTGTACATACTGATGTGTGCCTCAATGCACTAAGGGGAGAACATTAATCACTTGGCTTTTCCACACTGGGGAATCTTGACCAAAGTAGGACATTGGTCTCCTTTTACAGTGACCCAACAAAAACTCTATTGCCCAGGTACTGCCAGCCACAAATGTTGTAACTGGGAATTCAATCTGAGCCATAAGTCATCCCTAAACTGTACTAGATAAACTAGTCTAAATTGTGATGTTGAAATATAATCAAAGGGTTTTTTCCTTTTTTACCTACTGTATTTTCTTCTTTCGTATTTTCAGTGTTTATTGGCTGTTGGAGGAGTCCTTTCAGATTGAGACACTTATCAGTATACACAACAAGATTACGCTCGGTTGGGTCAAAAAAAAAACAAAAACCTTTCATATACTCCAACTGTTCTGCCCCTTACACACTACTCAATTTTCTCTTCCAGCTGTTGACTCTGACTCACCTAAAATCCACAGACTAGAGCCAACCAGCACAGACTCAGCCAGAATAAGAATCAGGGCTAAAATCAGGGTAAAAGTCATGTAGTATAGCCCCAGCTTTACCTGCACCACTGACCTTACGTGATATTTTAAACAAAAAATGCCTCAGCCTCCCTCAGGATGAATAAACATGAAAAGGGCACCAGTGCCCCCAGAGTGCTGACAAGTGTTGACACTTCTGTGTCTTGCAGATGAGATAAACAAACAGTAAGATGAGTTCACAATAACTCTGTGCCCAACAGATTAATGCTAGACACAACATTATTTACTGTTGAACAAAATGGAGAACATTAGAACAGAAGTCAATATTAGCTGTGCCATATGACAGTTTGTTAAAGGAAACATCAGTGTCCACTGTCTCTTGGGCTGCATGGTTCCTTGGTGGGATTAGTGGGATTAACGTAATTTGTCTGGTTAATGGTGTGACCCAAAAGCACTCTAACATGTCAAGATCTAATAAAGATACTCTTACTAACAACAGTTTCCCAAAAAGCATCAAACACTTCTCTTTAGTTCCCATTCTTCAGTTCCCAATTATTTCATTTGGTTTGTTTCATTAATATAAATGCTTATGAATGCTTGTGTCTGTATCTGTAGCTATACCTTCAAATCATACTCTGGGTAATATAAAGTTAAGATGGCCAACTGAGATGTTCTACAGACTCTTAGAAATTCAAACATACGGAGAAATGGACACTGAGTATTTCAGAAGAGAACACTCACTACCAAGTTCCAAACTGTCTCTGGAAGCAACATCCGCACAAGAACTATTCACTGGGAGCTTCATGGATTAGATTTCTATAGCTGGGCATCCACATACACGCCTGAGATCACCAAGCACTCAGCTGGAGTACTGTGAAGCAAACTGCCATTGTACTCTGGAACAGCAGAAATGCATTCTCTTGCAGATGCCAGGATAATGCTAGCAGTCCAAATGCATAGTGCTACTTGTAAAGTTTGGTGGAGGAAGAGTAATGATCTGGAGCTGGTCGTGATTTAGGATGGGCCCCTTAGTTCAAGCAAAGATCAATCTTAATGTCACATCATCCAATGACATTCTACAGGTTTGTGTGCCTCCAACTTTGTGTTAAAACTTTAAGAAAGGCCCGGCCCTTTCCTGTTTCAGCATGACAAAGGCCTCGTGCACAAAGGAGTTCCATATAGGTATGTTTTGCTGTGTGGAAAAATTTTACTTGCCTGCACAGAGCCCTGACCTTAACCCCTTCAATCAAACACCTGGAATGAACTGAAATGCTGACTGCAAGCCAGGCCTTATCACCAAACATCAGTGCCTGACCTCACTAATGCTCTTGAAGCTGAATGTAAGCAAATCCCTGCAGTCATTTTAAAAATATAGTGGATAGTCTTCCCAGAAGACTGGAGACTCTTACAGCACCCAATAATGAAGCAACTCTACATTAATGACCATGATTTTGGAATAGATATTCAAGACGTACATGTGGATGTGATGTTTGGGTGTCCACAAACTTTTGGCAATGTAGTGTATCTACTATCAATCAGGGGAACGACAACTGTATTCTGAAAGATGCAAACCACTGCCAAGCCTCAAGATTGAAAATGCATAGACAGCAGTTTGCCACAGAGTTTAAAAAAGCAGTACAGTTCTGGGACAAACTTTTATGGATAGATGAGACGCAAAGATTAACTTCTACCAAAGTGATGGAATATATAAGGCATAGAGAACAAAAAAGAAACTGCTTCCTGTGAAACATGGCACTCATAGCACTGAAAAAAAAAAGCTAAAAAGCTGAAATCTTCTTAGGCGGCCAAGTCAGTTCCCTAACTCGTACCCCATTAAGAATGCGGGGAAATGAATAGACATTGACAAATGTGTAGAAATTTCAGTTTAGAGCTGGATCATGAGACACTCAAATAAAGCTGCAATCCTTTCCTCTGGAAGCACTAAATACATATAAAAATATTTATGTAATGATAAAAACATGGGATCAAAACTTCCAACATCATAGAAGGTAATTAAAAGTTAACACAGCAACTGAAGTGTAGGTAATATAAGGTTTAACTACATGTGTTCAGCTAACTTATGTTTATGTTTAGCTAATGGTTTAGCTACTTACGTCACTGGTTACTAGTCCTAGTGGCTTGTGTTACAGTAACTATTTCCAAAATCTGGGATTTAAACTCTACCATCAACATCATGAGGCTACATGGGACAAGCATCTATAAGCATCTATACCTTCCATATACCATCCTCTACATGACAAACCTTGTGCAACACCTGCCACACGAGGGATACCACAACTGGCTAGACACTATGTAATAAGTGATGTCAGATAAAAAGCATAAAATGAGCAGCTGTATAACCGTAGTTCGGATGAACACTCCTCGTCCACAAAGTTGCTCATTATGACTATGTAAACAGCTATATCAGTAAAGAGATCAGAGCATGAGATTTCAGTAAGCCAGAAAACATCCTCATTTCTAAGAAGTTCAACGTATGTACAAGAAAATGGTAAACAGAGGGTGGGAAGGTTTTCATAGTAAATTGATCAGTTATGACTGAACTTTGTATTCAGTTGCAAAAATGAACATGGCCAAACCACATGAAGAGCACAACTGTGGATTTCTTATATCCGTGCAAAAACCTATGAGCAAGCTGCACACTGATGACCATGTTGCTCTTCATTCATATCATGAGCCTCCATCTACACCTTGTCTCTGCACTATGCTAACGTTCATAGTGAAAAAGGGGTGAAAAGTAAGCCTACTCATTTACTACTCTCATTACAGTCTTTTCCCTATAATACTTTTCCCATTAAGTGATATATCGTCATTTCATAAATCATAAAATGATTATCTTTTATAATCACAACTTCCTTAAAGAGATAATTACACTAAATAAACATGTTCACATTAGAAATGGATATACTCAGTCTTCTGAACAAAAACGGGAAAACAATGAATAGACTGGATGAAACTGTTACTCTGAATGGATGAAAGTGTTACTCAAACACAAATAAAAGAAACAGGATAAAAGACATTTGCTTCAATCTGATCTAGACTTTAGGAACATAGCTGCGACTGGACAGACACAGTTAACAGTGTAGTACAACTTAATGTTTGATCTCTCTGGAAGCTGATTAGGGATCTGGGGAGTGTCAAGAGCAGGTGTTTATGTGGTGTTAGATGGGAAAACCCATTATATCATTAGACAAACCCTGGATTAAAAAGGCTGACACTTACATAGAGACAAACACCGTTCGCAGAGAACAATGCATGCATTAGGGCAGAATGCATTAGCTTTTTCCTGCTTTATCAATGCAAACAAAATTAGTGGTTTTGCTAAGTCTGTTGTTTGCCTGCAAAACTGGTGTACTTCTGTATATTTTTATGAAATTTGCTAGTAGGCTATTTTTAAGTGTAATTTACCTTTTAATAGCATTTAACATGTTGGGAAATTGGGGTTAATGTTTAAGAAGTGTGCAGACATGTGCCCCTTCAGTTAGCTTTTTCTGTTTGAGAGAGAGACAGAGAGAGAGAGAAAGATTTGTTAAGTAGCTGCCTGTTAGTTCTCTCTGCTATATGCTGTAATGCTAGCTTTACCGTAAAGCTTCCCCTTCTACTCATTTTACTGTATGTGAAGTTTACTTTGAATGAATGGAATCGATAATAACTGCTGTTGTGTTTTGGAACTTCAGCTCAAAGAGACTCACTGCAGGAAAAAAAAATACAAAAGACCTCCAAAACTAAAAAAAACTAACTAAAATGAATGGATATTACCCTAAAGCAGCTAGCTCTAACTTGGAGAAAATGATCTCCTGATCCTTGTCTATGGCTGGTGTTCTCAGAAAAAAGGTAATAAATAATTATAATAAATAATACATTTAATTTTAATGTTAAAACATAGTTAGACAACAGGGCCTTAAAAAGGTAGTATCAAAAATCTGCATTTTTTAACTAGAAAATATCATGCTAATTATTTTTAGATATCACCCAGGGCTAGTTCCAAGTATATAAAGTTGTATATCTCAAATATATACAGTTAAGCCCAAAAATCTTCATGCCCATGTCATTTCCAGTCGAAAGAAACCTATTGGTCAAATTCACTATAAATCAATTATAAATCAAACATTTTGCATTCAAAACAGCAGTCAATCTCTATTCCAAAGCTAAGTGGTAGATCAACTAGCTAAGGGAAAGGGGTGTTAATTTGCAGCTAACTTACCTGAGTGATTATGAGAGGTCATTGTAATAATGGCAGAATAGTCTTTTCCTTTGAATGTAGGATCCAGAAGCAGTTGAACTATGAGATTCGGAGACCAGGAAACACTAGTTAGAGGCTGAAGAGAACTGTTCTCTTGTGGAATCCACCTGCAAAAAATTACAGAGAAATAACGTACAGTAAAGAATGTCAGAATACAGTGATGCGTATCAGGTCAGCTGTTAATTTTGTCACACATCATGATTTACAGAAATACACATTGCAGCCTAAAAGTAACTGATCAGTGATACAACTTCGAAACTCCAACATGCTGGATTTGAAATGAAACACTGACTATGAAGGTGCAGAAAGTTAGCATTAGATAATTATAGGCAATTTACAGCTACACTAGAACACCCATTTAAGAGGACTTAAGAAATTAGCGTGAATCTTAAAATAAAATCCACGCTCAGTGGGGATTACTTTGGTTGTATGATTTGGCCAGAACATTCTATAATTGGCCCTGAAAATGCCACAGATGTTTTAACAGTATGTTTAGGGTCATTGTTCTGCTGCAAGAGGTGGTATGAGCCGTTTAATTGGATTGCATGAGTGACACTTTATTTATCCTAAAAGGATGTTTAGATCATAAACAGTTCATTTTTCCTCCATTTTCACCCCTTCCCAACACTCTGGTGCAGGTTAATGTTCATCTCATATGTCTATAAGACTTTGTCCCAGAATGCTTCAGTTTTTAAGGTACTTTTAAGCAAACAGGAACCATTATTTTTTATGTACAATCTGCTATTCAAGAAGCTAATAAATACCTCATCAAGTATCGAATGAACTATCAGTGAAATCTTAACATCTCTCTAATGATGGTTAATTTTTTTAAGTAAATATCTGCCAATACCAATACGATTCTGATATTATTGTGCATCCACAAAAATACATCGTCATCGATACGTCAAGACATTTTCTCAATACATGGTCCATCTGTATCCATCACACTACATAGTTTTCCTGAAGTCTGATAAGTTGAAACATACAAAAAAACAGTGGTGCCATGTTTTATAAAATACTGTTAAAAACTATGAATAGAATAAATTTAATTCAACATTTCACTTACTGCACTAAATCCAGTTAAACAGACCTAAATATGCAGTCTTTATAATGAAACATGCAGTTGGTAAGTGTTCATTAAAGGCACAGTTTCCGATTCTGGAGAATGATTTTTGATATTTGAACTTGACAGCAAAACAAATACACCCCTCCCTTCAAAGCTCTATCTGAAGCTCTGTTCCCCAAATTTTGATGTGATTTGCCAAGGTGAACGACGCTGGGCTAACACATTTTTTTTTACATCTTTAGGCCATAAAGCCCTTTGCAAACACTGTACAGACAACTACTATGTTATAACATCAGAGCAAACAATGACACAGCAAGTAACACAAATAATGTTAGACTACGTTGTGGATTAGCAAACTGTCTCTACAATTGCTGCTACGAAGCTAACCAGTTGTGATTAGCTATTACAAAATTAGCAAACAGGACAAAACAATACTGACCTATTGGTCCTGAGAAACAGCAAAAATAAGTTAATGCTACCTGTCACCTGTCAAGCAGAAACAGAGCAACCTCCTCATCACTTTTCAATTCAGCCTCTTATTTGCCAGCTTCTTGTTGCTCTAAAATGCTGCAGCAGTTACATTCTGGTGCCTCAGGTTGCTGCACCATTTAAGATGAAATGGGAAAATTCGAACAACAGGCCATTTAAGGTGGAACAAGAAAATTCACTCAAGAGACGAGAGTATGTAACTGCTGCACCATTTAAAGTGGAATGGGAAAATTCGAATAGGAAGCTGGTGAATACAAAGCCAACTTTAGCCTCGTCACCTCTCTGAACTCTCTTCACCGTCTAAATGCCTCACTGATGTTAAAATGCCTGATTTAAGAACTAATTTCTTATTCATTGTTATTCGGATCTCTGCCCAATGACAGCTGGGATATGCTCCAGCACCCCACCGCGACCCAGAAGGATAAGAGGTTTAGATGATGGATGGATGGATGGATGTTATTCAGATCTTCCCCTCTTTTGCTGCTTCTCAGCCCTCTCTCCTTCTTGACAATGCCTCATGATTTCACAGGCTCCCTTTTGCAGAAAACAAAGAGGAACTGTCCACCACAAACCATTTCAATGAATGTTTCGGGAAGTGAAAAAGTACTTAATGAATGGTTTCACATCCAGAAAAAGTGGAAAGAACCTGTGTAATAAGAACTTCAAAGCAACCTGTTTTTGGCTATCAGCAAAATCAAACCAAAAACACTGCAGTCAATTCAATTCAAAGGACATAAGTACTAGAAACCCCTTATTTCTGTACATGGTGGCACACACACATATGCACATTCACAGCCCAGCGTCATCTAAGACAGATGCCAACAGAGATACTGCCTACTAATTAGCATGAAACTTCTTACAAATATAGATCTATATGAACATTATTCCCACGGAAGTCTACCAATATACCTAATAGCAAAGTATTCAGTAACATAGTGCCCTCAAAAAGACTGGAAAATAAAGCCAGGTTATTCCTGATATTCTGATTCTCTGAATAGTATTATAACAATATGTCATGGATAGTGAAGTTGGCCTCCAAAAACTATATAAAATCACGTCACAGGAACGTCTAAAATGAAGGCAAATTTAATAGTTGCTTGACTGAGCTTCATAAACCAGTGTTGGCTATTTTGCCCATTCTCATGTAGCCCCACTCCCTACCATGCCCAGACAGCATAAGGGAGAGGTGAAGGAAGGAGGGGGGAGGGGCACAAAAGGGGGAGACTGAGGAAATCAGGGGGGAAAGTCGGTCACAGAGCCCATCCATGCTAATCTCCTGTGATAGGACTGGGGCTGAAGGCAGGGAGGGGAGGGCGTAGCCCATGAGCGGGGCAGGATGAGTCCCCCATGTGGGCACTGACTTGGCTCAGGGGCCTTGCATGTCTACATCCATTGTACCCCAAACAGCCAAGAGAGACTCAGTGACATGTAAGGAGAGACAAGCGATGCAGCACAGCACACAGCAAAATACAATTCTGCATCACTGCTCACTTTAGAGTCGACATGGTAGTGCCCTCTGTTTAGCTTTCTAAGAAAAAAAGGCTAAAAAACATGGACCACACAGAGCACTGTCTAATCAGTCACTAGCAGCAGACAGGAACATGAGGCAATGAGGACTGTGGTTTTCACAAGAACACCAATAAATAACTTTATGTCTAGTTGTATTAGATGTATTGCTCACTCTACAAGTACAAAACATTAAAATACGTCTACGTAATGACAAAATACACGTTACAAACATCTGCTCACTCGAGCTTTACCTACATCTCGTGCACATACCATAAAACGGCACCTTGAACTTTTTCCAAAACGTAATAAATGCTTGCTAAACGTATATGCCTGCTGCTCAGCCACGGCATTAACTCGAGCGAAACCCGCGTCTATGTCCATGCCTTCTCATAACGTGTTCCTACATTTTTGAAGGCTGCATGAACCTCTGTTTGGTGAACCAGGACTATAAAGAGCCTTCGCTGCCGTGTTGCCTCTCTGTGTTCAGCTCCAGCTCCTTCACCTCATTCACAAAAATGGTCGACGCATGGTCTAACACCCGCCCATCCGTAGACCACCGATACCATTGGTCATTAGTGACTTAACCACACAATTGCATAATACTAGTAAAAGGCAGCTACCGTCGTGTGCAGCCCGCGTTCGTCTCCGTAAACCACCACACATCGGCTTTCCTTTCGAAATTTCCTGACCGCTTCGCACCACTAACGTTACAACGACTCAAAACGAATCGCCTTTCACACCATTCAGTACGTGGATGTTGTTGTCGGAGAAAGAAAAAGCGCGCTAGTCTCCATTTGAAGCCGGCTCACGTCCTCCTCCCATTCATGAGAAACCGACTGGTCACAATTCTACAATTTCCCAGGTAAATAAAGTCATTCGTCGCCTCCCGTTCTGGTTTGTCACCCCGTGTACTTGTGTTCATTATGTTACCGTAAGCCGCCTGTATGCCGTAGCGCTGCTGCGGTAGCGCCGGTTTCAGTCAGCCTGCAGACAGGAACCGAACATTTATCACTCAAGGTATCTGCCAGCTCACCTTAACGCGGAGGACGGAGGATTTTTTCCGCATAGAAAGCCCAGCTCGCTTCAGTCCTCGTGCGAAGTGCAGTAGCGATAGCAACGTCCGCTGTCAGATTCCGCCATACTGGATTTTTGATTAAGGAATCACGTGTGGCGAGCCTGTACGGTATGTGTTGAAGAGGCAGGAGACCACACCACTGCTGGCTTACAGAAAAGACACTCAGTATGCGGATACGTGCATCACATGCTTCATGGACTACAAAAATGGCTGTCTGTGCGATTTTACAGTTTAAATCAGTCTATGTTACAGTTAATGCTGTATTAACAGCCTTTCATGAATTATTTTAGACCAATGAGGCTAAAGTAAACATAATAATGCGTTACTACATTTACTGAGGTAACTCGTTCCATTAAAATACTTATTTTTCCACAATTTCCTGGAGAAACACATTTTAATAGATATACGTGAAGTGAAAAATGGTTTCTATCCATCTCTTACTTTGAAAAGACCATTTGAATATCATGTCATTTTCCGCTAGCGAGTGCTTCAGCATGGTTGGGTCAGCACAGAACTACAGAGCAATTTGGAGTCATTTTTAAGATCCTAATAGATACACTATCAAGGCATATGTTCTAAAAATCAACACATTCTGTCTTTAACCTAGAAGCATCAGTGTGCTCAGTTGGAGAAGACACATTTTGTGTTACTTTTAACTGAAATGTGTTGAAATATTTCTATACCCAGTTATGGGTAACATTTTTCTTTCAACATGGAATGTTAAATCAGAAAACAAGATGACACAAAAAATGGGTAACACAAGTTGTTATTTAACACATCACTTTTTAGAGTGCACTGTTTATTTGCTTTTGCTGGACTGTACTACAATAATTTGCCTAATAATACTGTAAAGCTGCTCAAGTTTTCTGTTACTTGACCTTCTTTTCACAACATGGGGGGATGAAAGGGAGTATTTATGTCGTCTTTGCTGTTGGGTGGCCGGCGGATTGGGCATGATGTTTCACTTGGAAATCACTTTTGTAAAGGAAGAAGTATGAAACAATGCATAAACAGCTCTGCATAGGCAACCATGTTGAACATAGTTGCACATACAACACATATGTACACATAAATACTGATTAAAGTGTATGTGTGGTTTTGCATGATGCATACTTATCATTGCTCTCATACTCATTGATCAGTAGTGACTGATTAATGATGCACTTGATGAAGGGGAATTCCACTGATTTTTCAAAATTTCTGCTTAATTAAACTGCTATGGTACTGTGGCCTGGCAAAGCAGCTGTGTCTGGCACTGGAGTGGAAAGCACTACAGGTGCTTGTGGATCTGCTGCTGGAACAACATGACGACTTAGTGGCGTTGACCACGGCCTTCCAGCGACAGTTCAGGAAGGTGCCAGCAGCGCTGTCGGCTGGACAGCTGCTCCCTGAGAGGTGGAGGTGGACAGGCATACCGGGTGTTCGAGAAAGCTGTGCAGTAGGGGTTGGCGCAGGAGCGCTTCCGGAATGTGCTGCGGCCAGAGGAGCTTAGATGGCATACACAGCTCGCCGCACTGACCAGCCTTCAAGCAGTTCCTGCTGAGGCAGAGCGGGCAGAAATCATCCTCAAACAACATGGCACTACACGGCAGAGGAGCTCTAGCAGTTGAGTGGCCCCCAAGCGAGCGCTGGAGTGAATGGTGTGCGGGCACTGCAGGAAGAGAGGACACTGCCTTGAAACTGAGCTAGCAGGGAAACAGAATCCAGCAGGGAAGATTGTCTGCCGCCGCGGACTTTAGATTGAGGGCAGCATAGACGGGAAACAGAACACTGCCCTCATCGACACTGGCTTATGGGTGTTGCTGCTACGTCAAGGTGTGCTCCCTCACACGCCTGCCAAGTGTTGACCATCCACCTCAAGTCCATCACCGGTAGCCGACTCTATTTGAGAAGGAGGAGGTGGCTCCTTGTTGTGGCGGGGGGCTTGAGCCAAATGCACGAGTTCTGACATGTGGCCTCTCAGGATGCATGGACTTTCTTGCGGTGGCAGAGGCTGTGCTCAACCTCAGAAAGGAAACACTGGGAGACGGGCCTAGTGAAGCTGGTTGCAGAGTTGAGACAGAGAGTCAGGGCTCCCTAGCAGTGTAGCCTTCATTTCCCGTGGGGGGAACCTGCCAGCTTGGGCAAAGCTTGCAGAGTCAGAGCCGGTTGGTGGATCTCCTTGCGCCTCAAGGCATGCTGTCACGTTAAGGGGACCATGGCTTTTTGCAGGTGAAGCCACAGGAGGAGCTGTTGGAGGAGCTGAACACAGTGCCAGTGCTGGTGGCTTGCATGTGGTCATTGCCTGCATCAATGACAGTGGACAATGAAGAAAAGGGAAGGCGGCTGAGAGGGGTACTGTTGCTGCTGTCGTCGACCCCAGTAACACCAGACTTGATGCTGTAATCTGCGCCAAGGAGGAGGACGCAGTGTTCACTGCTCAGTCTCTCTGCTCCAGCACACTGATGGAGAGAAAGCCCGTGGAATTGGTGTTTGGCTAATCGTACCCCAGAGCGGTAATAGGTACCAGGGGTCGCAATGTCTTTGCTGCAAATATTGCCTTTTTATTTTCTATCCAAAATGATCCCAGTGAACCTACATTTGTTTTTATGTGTAATGTTAATGACGGTAAAATAGATTTAAATTGGAAAAAGTAAGCATTCTTTTGGTACTATTATCAGCATTACATATAAAATTTAGAAGACACATGTATGTAATGTTTTATCTTAGAAACTTTACTGTTTTCTGGTAAATATCTGCTCATTCTGAAACTGATGCTTGCAACATGATCCAATAAGGTTGGGACAGGGGTTTTTTTCTTAAACAGGTGATACAATTATGCTTGGATACAAAAGGAGCATTCAGGAAAGGCCAAGTCCTTTCTGAGCAAGGATGAGCTGACGCTCATCAGTTTGCCAAAGATGCAACAGCAAAAAATCCAGCAGTTTAAAAATAATGTTCCTCAGCCAGGGTTTGCAAGGATTTTAGATATTTCACTCTCTACAGTTCATAATGACAACAAAAGATTCAGAGAATCTGGAGAAATCTCTGTGTATAAAGGACAAGGCCAAATCACAGCTGAATGCCCATGATATTTAACCCCTTAAATTGCACTGCTGGTGATGGATATCTTGACATGGACTCAGGAACACTTTGACAAACCGTTGTCAAATAAAAGCAGATCATTGCTGCATCCACAAATGCAAGTTAAGAGTGTACTATGAACAGTGGAAATCATATGTCAAAAACAGCCAGGAATAAAGTCGACTTCTCTAGGCTCAAGCTCATCTTAAATGGACTCTGTGGAAACGTGTGCTGTTGTCTGGCAAGTCAGCCCTTCAGACTGTTTATGAAAATAATGAAAGTTGTGTTCTTCAGGCTAAACAACAAAAGGATTTGTTGCCAGCGTAAAGTTCGAAAGCCAGGGTCTGTTATCGTATAGTGGGGTATTAATAGGTTACCTGCACATTTGTGAAGGTGTTGCTACTGCCACATACAGTTTGGAGCAACATATGCTGCCTTTAGATGCTGTCTTTTTCAGGGATGTCAATTTCAACATGACAACAACAAGCCAGTTTGTGCATATGTTATAACAGAATGGCTGTGTAATAAGAAAGTTCAGGTGACAGATTGGCCTGCCTGCAGTCAAGAACTGTATCCCATTGACTATGTGTCTCATTAAGCCCGAAATATGACAACAAAGGCCCTCTACGGTTACACAGCTGAGGACTTGTATAAGAAAAAAACTGAAAAAATTATACTTTCAAAACTGGATCAGTTGGTGTCTTCAGTCACCAAATGTTTACTAGGTGTTGTTAAAAGGAAAGATGATGCAACACAGTGGTAAACATGCTCCTGTCCCAACTTTTTTAGAACGTCTTGCAGGCGTCAAATTTGGAATGAGTGTATATTTACAAAATACAGCAATGTTCATAAAGTAAAACATCAAATATTGCGTTTATGTACTGATATATACATATCAAACAGAATGTACTAATCACTGCTTTCTGTTTTTATTAGCATTTTAAGCACTGCCCCAACGTTTTTGGAATTAGGCTTGTATATAGAACCTTCATATGTTAAAATGCAGTTCAAAGTGCTTTCCAAAGGAAAAAACAAAGCATACAGGAACAACATAAAAATAAAGAAAATAAAAATATTGAGCAAAGAGGCTTAATAAAATACAATAGCAATAATTATATTTCTGTAGAGCCATTTATCCCCATTGGTCTGAAAGGCTCTGTTATTTGTCAGAACTTTTTAGACAAACTATGCATTTTGAAATGCCTAATTTTGTCCCCATCACTTGTTGAATTGGGAACAAAATGAGGAAATGTTTGTCAAAAATGTTGAAAAGTAATGAAAAGAAGGAGTGGTGAAGACTTGTCCCCAGCTTCTTCACTGTTAATCATGCTCATACATGTACATTTGCTATAGTAAATCTTAATTACTAATTAAGATATAGTATATCTTAATTACTAGCTAAAAGCTTGTAGACCCATAAATGGGGCTTGTTTTGGTAGGGAGTCCAACAAATATTTCATCAGTTTTAATTCAGCATAGGCATAAATTATGATGGAAAAAATGTGGAAAAAACAGGAGTAGTGGTGTGATGGTATGATCAAATATAGTAACAATGCTGGAAAAATCCAGTATTCCATTATGTAATATCTGTAAGACACCGCAACCCAGGACAACAGGAACTAGTCTCTTCAGTTAGCTATTTCTATGTGTGTGCCAATTGCAATATTTCAACATATTTACTATTCCTTAGCAAATTGGCACAGGCAGTGACTAAGACAATACTTTTTTCCACATCAAATCCAGAGATTCGTGTAACAGTCTTGATCATTTACTTATTAATGAAGAGCAGTTTGGAGACCCTTTGAGAGAAGCGCACAATATGGGCCAGAAGATTGCCTGTGGCTCTCTCTACAGCTCTTTGTTATTTAATTTCTGTCATTTTTGGATGACAAAGTATATCAGCAACCACAAAATTATTCATACAGGCTCCTATACACACTAACAATACACTAACACACTGAAAAATATAATAATATTTCACTGTTACAGTATACTGTAACTGTACTTTTATAAATAACCAGCCACACAAAATTCAATTATTCAATTATGATCATATTGTTTTGGTCAAAAGTCCATTTAAAATCATTTACAACAGCTATTCTTGCTTTGTTAC